TTAAAAGCACTTTTAATAAATTAAAGAGGGGTTAGCTCCTATCTTTGAACATTTTGTTGTTCGTCGTTACCAACTCACGATATCATGAGCTGGTTGACACGTGCATTAGTCACACCATATGTGCGCTGAAGAGGGTTAAAATCAATTTTTAGTTTCTTAGCTTACAAAATTAGTAAGTTTTAGTCCTTAATCTTATAATATAATACTTTTAGTCTTTTACTTTACAAAATTGATAGAATTTAACCTCTCATTTTATAAAATTAATAATTTTTAACCCATCGTCTTATACTATGATACTTTTAGTCATTTATTTGTATGAATTGAAAAAAAATGACCTTTACTTAACATCATGTTATAATATCATGTTAGTTTTATTAGTTGACTGTAAATTCTGTTAATTGACTATAAATTTTGTTAATTAACTGTTAATTCTGTTAACTGATTATTAACTAACTGTTAACATCTGTTAGCATTTCATTAATGGAACTAACAAATAAAATTGAATTTAAATTTAATGTTTTTTTATAATGGAATGCTAACGGATGTTAACAGTCAGTTAATAGAATTCATAGAATGTTATAACTTGATATTAGGTGAGGGTTACTTTTTTCAATTTGTATAGGTAAAGGCTAAAAATGTCACAATATAAGATGAGATGTTAAAACCTACCAACTTTGTAAGGTGAAGAGCTAAAACCTACCAATTTTGTAAAGTAAAATACTAAAAATATTATGTTATAAATTGAAGGACTAAAACCTACTAATTTTGTAAGATAAAGTGCTAAATATTGGTTTTTGCCTCTGAAGAGCTGCCAATATTGAATTTTTTTGACAGCTCCATTACCGTTCTTCTAGGAATTGGGGTTGGAAGTCTTGCAATAATAGCTGCACTTGAATCAAATACTACATGATTATGCATTTGTTGTCAAGAAGGGAGAAAGAAATCTGTTCAACCCTTAAAAAAAATCTAAAAACTACGTATATAAAATTGGACAATAATAATATATCTTTTTGTTTAATATATGTCATAATATATTTATTAAAATATTATTATTTTTAAATTAAAATTAAAATAAAAAATTTGATAAATAAATAATTAAATATAAACAAATATATTAAATTAAAATATATAAAAATTATTTTCTTATAAAATTTTATCAAGAACAAAAGATCTTGTTGAATGTTTCAGGACAAGATAGCAGGATTGCTAATTAATTACATCTAAGAAATTGCTAGTGGTGTCATTGATGAATTAGTACACATGGGAAATTACATTTGCATTGACTTGAGCCATCCTACCAATAAAAATATCCAAGCTTAGTTCGCTTTGTTATTATTATTTTTTAGATTTTTTTAACGTGTGTTTTTAAAACATAAGTTAAAGATGTTTTTTGTAATAAATTTACATAGAAAAATATAAAAATAACTATTAATTTTAAAATTAATGTCATGTAGATAAATTTAATTAAATAGTTAATAAATTAAATATTATTTTTTATGTTTTCAAGATTCTTAACCTAATACAAATTAGAAAAATTTTATGAGACAGATTACTTAGATGTAATCTTTATGAGAAGAAAAACTAAAAAACAGAAATGAGAGTTTCAACTTTAATTATGCAAGTGAAGCAACGTCTTTTTTGTTAATGGTTTAGTAAATTATTTTAGAGGCCTTCCTCAAGCTTAGTTCACACTTGGATAATTGGATTACCACTAAAAGGAAAGGGAAAATCATGAAAAGGAAAGAAGCAATAAGCCAATAAATATCAAACTATATAACTGAGTTCTAAATTCTAATCTGGTTGTAATTGACTAATTTAATTAGTTCTAATATTTTAATATAATTATTAAAAAAAATTAATAGTTTACCAAAAAAAAAAAAAAAGGTTTGTACGAGTAATATATTTGTCAATTGTCTAAAAAAATCCTTGACTACCTAACCGACTAAAGGTCATGCATGATACAGGCAGCGGCAGGACGCGGCAAGCAGGTCATACAACAAAAGTTCCTAACGAAAAAGACTCAAAACGCTTTCAGTCACAAATCAAGTAAAATGAAAGAAATTGCTTTCAAAAATAAATGCAGGGCAAACTGTAAAATATTTTTCTGTATCAGATAACTAGCAGAAATATTAGAGACAGGCCATGGTAGACAGGTCAGGTCCACCAAGTTTGCACCACATAACTGGTATTATATGTTCCACAAATCAATACAGGGCTGAAGCCACTTGATATTTCTGTAAGGTTCTCAGCTTGAAGTAATACAAATTATAATAATTAGGTCAAGAAAAACATGCTGTCATTTTCTGCTCGGTTAGGCACATTAGATTAAAGATTGTTGCAGATCCATCCATCCTTCCATATAATATCTGCAGAATATATATTTTCTATCTTGAGACGTATATAATTTGTCTTGGGTAGCATCTTACAGACGTATGAACACACTTAAATAAGTCCTGTCTTGGTCATATGATGGGGATATATGTCTCTGTTTTCTGGCATCCCCTGTTTTTAATTACTTGATCTTTGGTTCTATATATCTTTGCCTTCATCATATGTCTTACAAATTAATGAAGACAAAACCAGTAGAAACTTGTTTTGTACTTATATACTGTTTAGTCCAACTTTTAGCTATTTTTTATACTCCTTTCACATGCAATTATGCTCCTTAACATGCTTAGTCATTCCAAATTACCAGTATTATTGTACTTCCCTAGAAATCGAAGATTCTTCGTGTCTTTAGTCCAACTTTTCATAACAGTTTCGTATACGAAATCCAGGAATACTTATACATAATTCTGAGAGCGGTCACCTCTTACAGGTACCACCTGCGACAGGGGACTGTGAGGCGACTGTTTTGATATTAACTAGAATGAATCGAGCCGAAATTTGTGATTGGGTTTATAACTTCTTAGGTGAAAGTTTACGGATTCTCAAAAAGGTAATTTCAAATTATTCATAGTGATTTATTTTTATATTTATATATTAAGTTAACTCAAACTTTTCAACCAAAATGAAATTCAGGGTATTACAAATCAAACAAACCTTTGATCATGGCTCTTAAGTTGTTATCACTAAATATTGTAATGTAGAACTATAAAAAAAATAAAGGAAAAAATTAATAATGATGGTTAAATTTATTGATAAGTAAAAACTTATTTTATAAATTTAATTTATAATTTAAGTCTTGAGATCATTATATAAAAAAATTAATTTTTTTAATGTACTAAATTAATACAAAGGGGCACCTCTAAGATTATTTCAGTATGTGCAAAAACTAAACTATCTACGTAAATGTTACAAAAATTCAAAGGGACCATAATTAGCAATGTCTACTCTATGGCTGCAAGTTTGGGATGTTACCGTGGAAGATGTAATAATATCAGGCCATCCTTATATGAATTATTATCCATCATTGAAAACCCAAAGTCAATATAGCAAACATAATCACCCACCACCACCATCAAAGCCACCTTCCACGGTTGTCCTCCAAGGTTTCCCCAAATCCCATGAAAAAAAAAACGAATTTTACTTACTCTCGCCCAGAAATCATGGAGATAAGCACACCCATTTGGTAATTTTCCTTTTCGTTGAAAAGAACACACCACTCAAGAAAACCATTAAAAAGATGATCTTTCCTTGCATCCGATGCGCCCGTCACCTATTCCCATTTCCAATCACGCAGCTACGTGTTTGTCTTGGAGATCATGATGTTATTTCTGGCACTACGCCAGAAACTCCAAATCTTTGCTTTGAACAAAAGTGGACTTAATTCTTTACCCCCACCTCCCTCCCACCCACTTTACAAAAATTGTATATATGGATTTCAATATAAAATTTTCATTCAGGATAAAACTAATTATTTATAGGTGAAATAATCATTTTTATATTTAAATCATGGACTTTTTTGTTATATATTTGATGTAAAATTTTTTCCCTTAACATGCTCTCTTACATGGCAAACTTATTATGAACATCGGAATCTATGATGTGACTTAATACGCTCCCTTATATATAAACCTGATACTAACTTTAAATCTTGTTAAGTAAGTTAACAACAAGTTTTTTAAGATAAAACCTAAGTTTTAATATTGTGTGAAAATTGTACCTATATGTTTCAATACAAAATTTGCATCAAATTTAAAATCAATTGACAATAAATGAAATAACTCTCTTTATATTTAATCCACATATATTTTTATTATATACTCAATATAAGATATTTTCCCACGACACACCTTTCTAGAGAAAATTAAAATCACAAACGATGGTTGGCATAATTTTAGATTCCAGCATTGAATGGATATCAAAAACCCAAAAGTGGGGACCCTCAAGATTGGGAAGGCTGCCACCACAAAGAAGCACCATCAGTGGTGCATAGGGAGAGAGTTTATCAATAATTCCGAT